CTCTCTCTCTCTCTCTCTCTCTCTCTCTCTCTCTCTCTCTCTCTCTCCACCCCCCCTCCCCCCACACAACACAAACTCACACTCAGCCACCCACCCACTCGCTGCGCTATCCTGATCCGCGCCTCTGCCTTCCTCTCGCTACGCGGACGCCAAAAAGTGTATAGTCTGCATGCACTTAGCAGCCACTTGTGGAGCCCCCGAGAGGAGAGTGGGTCCTGTGCTCGAGGTGCGGGTCATACAGGCAGTACACTCGCACCACTCTGAAAATGCAAGAGTGGGACAACAGCAGTTCCTATTCATAAAAGAGTCGTGCTTCCTACTTTTGGCGAGTGTGGGAAAAGTCCTACGCTTTGCCTACTGTTGTTGTTCGTATCAACCGGGCAAGCGTGTCCTACTCTTGCATTTCCAGAGCACGCGCCTTTCGTATACAAGTGATTGCCCGCCTGACGATGTGCTCTCTCTCCGGTGTGTTGCAGAGATGGTGGAGCTGGAGGACGAGGCTCGTGTTTAGCACCGATCACGGCGGGCAGAGCAGGTCTTCCCTCTCACTGGGGCAGGGCCTCTCCCCCGCCGTGGTCGAGGCCGATAGCGACGATGAGGTCGGCTTCCGGCTGCGGATCTCGTGGCGGCCGCGCCAGGGCCAGCAGGCCCGCCGGCCCACGTCCTCCTGCAACTCGGGGTCCTCGCACTGCTCCGGGCACCCGGCGCCGACCTGCAGCACCAGCTCCAGTGACCTGTACTCCTAGGCACCAGCCGCGCCGTCGTCGACTCCAGCGCCGTGTAATAGGACCACGCTCTGCTCCCCGGTGACATGGACTCGGATATGGACGCGTGAAAAGCAAAAGTGCCACACGTATAAATAAATGAATCCTTGTTTATTTTTGTGCCGCTAGTGGTACCAGGTTTGGAAAGAGCTTGTTCCTCAAAAACTTTCTTAATAGCCTGAAAAGATTATAGTTGTGGTTAAAGGATAAGACATGGCAGGCCACCGGACACTATTTGGGGTGTGTGTTGAAAGCTGTGATTTTACTGTTATTTTTTTATTTTTAGGAGACGACTATACACTTGTATATACTTTAAGTGTCATTACTTATATGGACGAAATTTTAAATATTAGCTCTTCTCAGCCAAATAAAATGTTTATCTTTATTAAAACAGACTGCTATATTGCTGTAACCATAACCATAAGTTACATATGCTTATTTATTTTCTAGTAAGTTTGTATCCTTTGTATCCTTCTGCTCTTTCTCAACCAAATACTAAAAAACATGCTCACATAGGCCCACCGGTGATTTTCTCCTTCTATGTGACCTTGTTTTTTGTGATAAAAATCTTCGAATATCACATCAATTTCAGTAGTACAAGTATTGCAAACCGAATTTCAGAGCTGTGTTGTCGAGGGGTCACCGACTCACCTGACCCGTGTATGGTGTATTGTAGTATACTGTGTCGATTTACAGGGTATGGGGTTGTCGGTTATTATAAAGTATTATGAAGGTATTATGGGTATCGCAAAAAAAGTATTGTGCTAGTCGGTGACCCTTTGCGTGCTCCCTTCTGATCATCATTCAAGAGGCCCATTACTTTAGGGTCTGGTTTTGAAGCAGCGAAATCTGTACACTGCAAACTTAACAGTGTATACTTGCACTCTAAAAGTAGAAAGCCCCAGCAACCACCGAATAGGTACTCCAGCGACAACCATAAATATGGTTACAAAATTGACAATCATCTAGTTATAAAAGCCAATGGCTTGGTTGGATCTCGCGGTCATTTTAATGATGTCCCCTCAATCATCGCGTTGTTGCTGTCCATGGAAAGTAATCGCACGATAGTTTCTACAGCTTTCTGTTTTTTGGGTGATAGTACACAACTGACACAACTCCCTTGTGTGTACACACTGTTCGGTTTTCAGTGTACATTTTGTGTTAATCTGTCGTGTGTGTAAATTATTGCTGTGAATGAAGTCCCTCCTGATTGTGAAAAAAGTTTGTCGTTCTCATCCCCATCCTGCCGCATGTCACATCAAACTCGCAGTGCCAGCGTTCTTCTCATACAGTAACTGCTGGTGCCGTGTCAGCAGAACAAAAAAAAAGGTCATACGATAGCACATTTGATTGTTCTTTCCAAACAAAGTCGTGCTCGTGCCACTACCCTCGCGGGTGGTGTGTCATGTGCCATGATGTGCCCTGTAATCCTTATAGAAAGAAGTCTCAGAAAAAAAATTATCTTACAGTAAGCGGTACTTTCTTTGCGTAAAAAGATTTTCCCTCTTCGATGCAAGAGGGAAATAATCTTACTTCGAAAACTCTTCAATTAAGCGGATTTTCCTCTTTCGATAAATCAACAACTCTTACGAAAAGGAGTGAAAACTCTAGCGCCAAGAAGAATCTTTCAAAACTTTAAAAAGAAAGTCAGTAATCTTGTGTCCAAACTGCCTACCTCCTGCTCAACCTTCTTTTTCCTCTCCTGAAACATAATATTGTCATGAAATACATAGAAGCAAGGAATTTCATCGTACAAGAGTACTTTTTTCTGAAAGTTCGTCCAACATGTTCGTGTAAACATATGGCTTGATTTTTATATGGGGCATGAGAATGAAAATGTTGAGTGCTGCTCAATATAAAACGCGGATAGCGATAAGGGTGATTTTTATTTTTCATATGCCAAAAGTAAACTTGTGACAATGAATTATTACTTCTTCAGACATCAAATCATTTACTGTAAGCCTGATTTCGAGTGATAAAAAAACGTTTACACTGCACGCTATATGACTAGGGACAATATAGCAGCTATGCTCTGTCCAAACATAAGTAATAACGTAGTTACAAAATTGTGTAGCTTTAGTTAAAGACCGTGTGGAATTAGTTACAATATTGTATTTTAATTAGTTATGTTTACAGAAGTCCATAGTACACTATATTGTCCTTATTCAAGCGTCTGTCCTACCTAAACGTAATTGTACAAATTTTGATGCTAAGTTTATGTAATTTTACGAAAACTATATTTCAATTTGTGTGTTAAATGATGATTGATCAAACACACAACTTTTTTTGTATTGAACTAAAATAAAAATAAAATTGAAAAAATATTGTTTGGTTGTGGTTTTTCCTCCCGTGTGCAGGTAGGTTGGCTGCTGCGACACGGGTCGGACGCCACCCTACATTGTCCGCTGGACAACGTGTAATATGATCGGGTGATGTGAGCTGGGCGGAGGCGGAACGGTACGTGTGTCAGAGACAGAGATAGAGACTGAGAGAGAGCGCGGGAGACAGGCAAGCAGGGTGGGGGCTAGGCTGCGTGGCGCGCAGTGCCCTGCCGGCCGTGCCGGCCGCGCGCAGTTGTCACCCGGCGGCCGCAGACACCGGCGCACACATTCAAGACACCGTCGCTCCGACCGTCTCACCGACTCTGCATTGCTGTGAGTACAAACAGACTCTAACAATTGTGTCAATCTAACTGAAAGAGAGGAGTCCACTGACTTTGGTGCACTGGTGAACATATATGCATTGTTATTTCCTTCGTTTTCCGCTCTACATTGGCAGTATTTAAAACAAAAAACCTAACGATGTTTAGTACCTATGCACTGTAATCTCTAAACAAATACTTTTATACCATTCGTATTGTATTTTACAAGGGAGTTTTTAAACATCTTTCAAGAGCAACCACAGGACACAAGCCAAGCATAGTAACAAACCAAATGGTGTAAATTTCACTGGAAATTAAAACTGTACCAAGCGTCAACGTTGAGTTTTACTACATACGTACGTCGTCTAGGATAACATTTTCAAAAGGGGTTTCCGAAAAATCATTATTTTCCATTTTATGTTCCGAATTACACATCCAGTAGGCCTACATGTCATCAGATTTATTTAGACTTAAGTATAGGTAGGTTTATTTGTGATCGAAGTTATTTATGGTTCGCGATTTTTGTCCCATCCCATCTCAGGGGTTACCTACCCGAATGGAAATAAGTACATATATCGAAATGACACTTTTATGTGTACTTTCAAAAAAGTATACATAAAGTATACTTAAAGTCTAGCAGATTGGAACGCTACACATGGCTGGCACTTTAGATACACTTTTTCTATAATATAAGTGTACTTTAAGTATACTTTTTGAACACCTTGGCCAGTTTCATTTTAGGGCAGTTATTTCCATGCGGGTAACTCGGTCTCCAACATTACGAAGGGAATATTTCCTCTTCAGAGTTGGCGTAGCCTGATCATTTTTGTTATTTTTAAAGTCCCCGCCATCATCAACTCGGGAATCCACTGCTCCGCGACTGCTTGACAAAACACATTCGTGTGGGGTTTCATAAGGTCAACAAACTCGGTGCCGCACCCCGGGCGAGCGGGCACAGGCGCGAATCAAGTGGGACCAGAACCTGAACCTGCCTGAACGCTGCGAATCGTGGACTAAACCTGAACACAACACGGGACACGGCAAGTGGAGGGGGGAGGGGGGGGGGTCAGAGATGAGATGGGCGTAAGGCGACATAAGGTCGCGTGGGGACCGCCGCCCACCGCACGGGCCGGACGGGGCCGCTGACCTGAGATTTCTGACAGGCAGCAGAACAAGCGTCTCCCACCGCACGGGCGACCTGCTGCCTTACTGCTCAAAACGTCCAGAGGCAGCCCGTCACATTTGAATAGTTTTTGTGCGCTGTCAAAGTCAGTACAGTACATTTGCTATCTGTCTTGGGTGAGCAGGCGGCGACCACTGCTGCGGCTAGTCCACGTGCGCCGGCACGCCCCCCCCCCCTCTCCGCGTTCCCCAGGGTGCCGAGAAAGCTTTCTGCGACGACGTTACGTCGCCGTACGCCCACACCAACGGCCCCGCGTCCTCGCCGCCGGCACAACCCGGCCGCCTGGAAAATGAACACTGTCTGGTCCGTGAGAGAAAGGGGCTTTGGAGAAGAAGCTTATAAGAATGCCTCGAAGCGCCCACCTGCGTACCTGGAAAACCAACTTTTACCGGGTTCAGTTCGCATTTTGAGATGAGTGCCATGTCGCTGTGATTGGAATTCTTGACGTTTTCCAGAGAAATACTTAGAACTGGAAAATAAGGCCGCTGATTTGGTTTCTCAAGAACGGGGTGCAGGCAATCTGATACTTCTTCTCCAGGGTGCCATTCATCACGACTGGTCTTGGTGCTCGAACTGCAGGCCCCTTCCTCCATTTTTTCTCCTCGTCTCCGCGTCCTTCCGTCCTCGTTCCTTCCCTTCCGCCCCGCGCTCGCGCTACACTCGCGCGGCTGAGCGGCGCAAAGCGTTCTAGAGGGGCTTTGGCACGGCTGCCTAGGCGTCGCCTAGTCCCAGGAAATGACACTTTGCGTGGTCGTTAATACTGTAGCCTATGCTGGCGCGCGAGCCACGAGGGGGTTTCCACACAGACAGATACACCAGAGCACTTGCAGCACGCACACTAACGACTCGACGCGCGCCCGCCGCTGCAGCAGGCATCAGGCCCTGGCCGCGACCCGGCCGCCCAGTCAGCGCGTATTTTGCGATAATAAATGGTGACAGGCGATACTCGGAGCGGCCGTATGGGGATGTGCCGCTCATCTTGGGCGCGGAAAACCGTTATCGCCCGGTTAGAGAGGGGTGGTGCGGCCGTGTGGTGCTGGGGCAACGACACCGCTAAAACCGCGTTTCCTTTTCGATAGAGTCATAAAAACTTTGTAACTTAACATATTTTACATTTATTTAAAATCGCAATCGCAACATTTCCCATAAAAACATTCCCATAGAAAACCTACAAAAATACTTTTCACAGTTACCCATAATGATCCTCTCATTGCTCCAGTCGCCTGACCATGGCCGTAGCGGCGACGCTGCTGTTTGTGCTGGCCGTGACCCACGCCAGTGTGGCCAGCCTCAACATGAACGACCTGCGCCAGGATCAGGGTCTCATGTGAGTATCGCTGCGTGATCAACTCCTTTTTTTTCAGATTAGGAGAAATGCCGCTTTGCTACTCCTATCTCGCCACGTGGACCTCGTCATCCGTATCGTAAATAAAACCCAACACCCAACATAAGCCGCCTGACATGGATTATGCGCAACATAACGTTGCAATACAAATGGATACAATAAATACCGAGCAGGGGTATCAGTTCTTTACTCCTGTAGCATATGTACCCACGAATAATCGTACATGAGTACGGCCTGTTTTGTATTCAGTGTACACCCCCGTATGTATCGTGTACTCATGTGAACAGGAAAATATCAAGAAGTGATGAGCGAAGAAGCGCGACGACCAAAAATGAAAGTTTTCTCATTAATTTCCCCCTCCCCCTTGTTTTCGTTTCATCTAGTCTTGTTCGAGCCCCCGTTGTAGGTTAGGTTTTAACTTATTTTTTCACCCTTTTCTCCCACGTTTAGACCGCGAAATGTACAGTCGCCGTGGACGTGGCGCTGCTCGGGGGCCCCGGAGCACCAGTGCAAGCGCCACCGCCTGGAGCAGCGCGAGACCCCCATGGCGGCGTCCACCTGCAAGATGGCGTGCGGTGCGGGCGCCAACCTGTGGCCGCGCCCGCGGAGCGTCAACGTCGACCACGCCCTCCACTCCATGAACTTCAACGCGATCAACCTCGAGTTCACGGACGCGAACGGCAACGCACTCGACATGTCCAGGGCGTAAGTGTAGATCAATATCGCGACTCCAGCAGCAGCGGATCATCATGCACCATACCTCTTCGCCACCATCAACGTCGACGCGCGCTTATTTTTTATTTATTTTTCAGGGCGGACGGTCTGCTGGAGAAGATGGCGTCGCGGTTCCGCGCACAGCAGGAGGACAAGGCCACCACCGAGGACGGCAGCGTGCTCGTCAAGGACGGCGGGCACAGCGTCGAGGTCAAGGCCGTCATCAAGGACCCCTGCGTGTCGGCCATCAGTTTGGACATGGATGAGAGCTACGAGCTCATCGTCGATAAAGCAAACGACATGGTGAGTGGCAAACGTCATGCACGCGAAAAGACGACACAAAATCGCAAGGGGAAAAGACGAAAAGATTTTCATCCCCAATCACACACCCCCAATCCCAATTCGTGACTGAGTGGTCGTTGGGGTCCCACCCCTCCCCAGCGGTGGCGTGGCACGGAGCTGGGCTTAGAATTACAATCCGGACCACCTCTGTCGAGCCGCTGTTAAGCAAGGTAAACAGAGCCCGGCCACCCTGTTCAGCCACCGACGCCCCTCGCCCCGGCCCGGTTGATCAGAGTGGAGGGAGAGCGCCACTTGGTCTCTGTAGCCCGCAGAGCGCCGCCCCCATCCCTTTTCCAACCACGGCAACGGAAAGCGGCTTCCCCTGGGCTTCCCTCGCCGGCCCGGGCTGTTTAGTTTTTGATAAGCCGCCCCTGACGCCTTCGCGATCGCGGCTCTGAGCTGGAGCAGGTTCGAGAGGCGGGGGCGGGCGGGCGGCGCTGCCCGCGTCACAAGGACGGCCGAGTTTGTGTAGAGACCATCATCAACCCTCGGCCACGCCGCGCCGCGGCCACCACGGGCGCAGCGGCGGCGGGGCAACACCAGAAGTGGCCCCGCCCCGCTCTAACCACCACCCCCGTCCTCCGTCCTGCAGCCGGCGCGGCGCGGAGGCCAACCTGACGAACCTGACCCACCCGGCGAGGCAAAGTTTGGCAGAGGGTTGAGAGAGGAGAGAGGACTGTGCTGTGAGCCGAGCCAGAGGGACTCTGGGACTGTGCGGTGGTGGCAAACTCGAGCGGGGGGGCTGTGTGGGTATGGCATGCTCAGCTGTGATCCGCGAGGGGTGACCCCCCTCCCCCCCCCCTCTGTGAGCCTGTGCTGTTTGTCTTAGGGATGCGCCCGCGCGCCCCGGAAGCAGCGGCGGTACAAGGCGCGGGGTGGGGCCGCCATGCCGTTGTATCAGCTGAATCGATGTGTTGGCCGTTATTTATTCATTCGTTCCCGAAGGTAGAGGGGGGAGGGGGGGGGGCGCGGCTGCATGCAGCGGTGCGCACGCCAGAGCGCTCACGAAAGTTCATCTCCAAACTTTTCGTCCGGTACAGCGGCGGCTCACACAAAACAACCGTTCTACGCGTTCTCCGGGGGTATAAATAAATGTATGCCATATATAACACATATTCAAAGGTCTACGGTATCGGCAAGGGAAAAACAATCTCTCATCTCTCCTTGAAGTTTGGCTACTTATACTTGAGGGCCGTCAGGTACCCGAAAGGTCGTGAAAATTTCTCAAACCGGGATGGATGAGACTATCATTATTCTTACTTTCAATTTTCTTTTCTTCCTCCTCAACCACCTGTCGGCTGAACAACTCGCCGATTTTTCTGTGCCTGTGATGGCCCTAGTTGATCGAGCTGATCTGATCAAGTGCCTCTACAGCCTTTCCAATCCACAAAGATAATAATTTCTCATTCGGGCTCGACGGAATCAGGTAATTCATTGAATCTGTACCTTTTCACTTCCGTTTTCCTTTTCCCTGCCTTTCACATCCCTCTCACCTCCCTCAGAGGACTAGTGAAGGTGAAGGGTGAAGGGGAAATGTCTGAGGGCAGGCCCGCCCTCCACCTCCCCGCAGCTGACAAGGCAGGCGCGCTTCACCGTACCACATCGCGAAACCTATTACGCTAGACTCCAAAACCATAAGCTGGCGGGTGTTTTGGAGGGAACCCTTCAGAACTGCGCGCTATGCGCCAGCTGACATGAGCTGAACCATGAGAACGGCGCGGCGCGTCTCTGAGAAGGGAAAATGTCGATTACTTTCAAAACGCTTCCCATTTAATGCAGGTGAACGTGACCCTGGTGGCCGACAACGCGTACGGCGCGCGCCACGGCCTGGAGACGCTCAACCAGCTCATCGTCCGGGACGAGCTGCGGCGCGAGATGTTGATGCCCGTCAAGGCCCGCATTGTGGACTCGCCCGGCTACAAGTACCGTGGAATCCTCCTCGACACGGCTCGCAGCTTCGTCTCCATCAAGGCTATCAAGCGCACCATCGACGCCATGGCCGCCTCCAAGCTCAACACCTTCCACTGGCACATCACCGACTCACACAGCTTCCCCTTCGTCTCCAAGACTCATCTGATGTTCAGCCAGTACGGGGCCTTCTCTCCCGATGAGGTGAGTACTAAACTCTAAACTTCGCGGCATAACGCGTAGTTTCGTCCGCTAATGTACTCGTTTCTTCATACAGGGTATTTCACCCAGTTTAAACCGGTTGGTGAAATACCCTATTCCTTTTCCTAGGGTCAGAAAAGATAGTTCAGGAAAACAGAACAGTGTTACAACAAAAACACAACACTTCAGTAGCGCAGAAAACAAAGTTCGCACACACCAACCGACCGAGCGACCGACCGTTCCACACGCTCACGGAGTTACAGACCCGTGCGACACGACAGACGGAAACAAACTGCCAGAACCGACAAGAAAACAAGCGGTAGCAGCGGCTCACCGGGAGTCAACCGGAAAAGGCACGATTGCTAGATCTGTTTCGCACTGTGCGCCCATTGGCTGACCGGGGGACCGACGTCATCGTTGACCAATCAGCGTCCAGGAGGAAACAGATCGGACAGTTCTGCCTTACGTATTCAACTGGTCGACTGGTCGACTGGTCGCCATGTCAGGTCTGCGGCAGCACAACCGTGCACACGGACCGAGACAGACTATTGCGCGAGCAAAGCGGGCATAAACAATGTTGTTGTTTGAGTGAACGCCCCCAGCTGAGGCCGCCCCTCCCCTCCCCCTGCCGCAGGTGTACACCCCGCAGGCCATCGAGGAGCTGGTGGAGTACGCGCGCGTGCGCGGCGTGCGCGTGCTGCCCGAGTTCGACGCGCCGGCCCACGTCGGCGAGGGCTGGCAGTGGGTGGGCCACAACGCGACCGTCTGCTTCCGCGCCGAGCCCTGGCAGAAGTTCTGCGTGGAGCCGCCGTGCGGCCAGCTGGACCCCACCGTCGACAAGGTCTACGACGTGCTGGGCGGCATCTACCGCGACATGCTGGACGCCTTCAAGCCCGACATGTTCCACATGGGCGGCGACGAGGTGCGTATGTGCGCGCGGAGTAGCGACGGCTCGGGGTATGGCCGGACGTGGCGAGGCCACGGGGCGATACCCCGCGCGCTGCGGCGCAGGCGGCGTCCGGCCGGCCCGTTGCGCACAGCTGCTGGTCGTGTTGCCTACCTCTCCATCTGACAGGCGCTCCTCCGTCTCAGGTCAACTTCAACTGCTGGAACACGACGGAGTCCATCATCAGCTGGATGAGGCAGAACAACGCGTCGGCCCGCACCGGCGACGACTTCCGCAAGCTGTGGGACGTCTTCCAGACCCGCGCGCTCCAGAAGCTCGTGGAGGCCAACGAGGGCAAAGAGCTCCCAGTCGTCCTGTGGACGAGCGGCCTCACCGCGCCCGGCAAGGTCTGTTGATTGTTGATTCACGCACGCGCTGCCCTGCTGCTTCCCGTGGACTCCGTATTTGATACCTCTCTCCCCCTCCAGGTTGACAGATACCTCGACCCCAAAAAGTACATTATCCAGATCTGGACCAAGGGCGACGACCTCCTGATCAAGGAGCTCGCGGAAAAGGGCTACCGCCTCATCTTCTCCAACTACGAGGCCCTGTACTTCGACTGCGGCTTCGGCGCGTGGGTGGGCGAGGGCAACAACTGGTGCTCGCCGTACATCGGCTGGCAGAAGGTGTACGACAACGACCCCCGAGGCCTGCTGCGCCGCATGGGTGTCACGGACCCGCGCCTGCTGCAGAACGTCCTCGGCGCCGAGGCCACGCTCTGGACGGAGCAGGCCGACTCGTACTCGGTGGACGGGCGCCTGTGGCCGCGCGCGGCCGCCATGGCGGAGCGCCTGTGGACGGCGCGGGACGACATGACGTGGAGGGACGCCGAAGTGCGCATGCTGGAGCAGCGCAACCGACTCGTCAAGCTGGGCGTGCAGGCCGACCGCCTGGAGCCACAGTGGTGCGACCAGAACCCGGGCCTCTGCTACCTCAGCTCGCGGCCCCAGGATCAGCCGGACACGACCGAACACTGAGCCCCAACGAGAGGGAATTAGGTCGATATTTCAATTTCTGAAACTGACAAGACTGCAGAAGTACGCAACGGGTGGGGAATGTGCTGAAACAAATTTTCTAGGCCACAAATGTTTGCGAATACTTTATTGTAACAATAAAGGCACTAAACAAACTTCAATGTCTGACTAGACTGTATCTAAGTAAAGTCTTTGTTGGATGTAGAGCTTACTACACTTACAAAGATAATCACCAACATTTCTCTAAGCTCTAAATTCACATTCATCACAAAGTGCTTTTTTTTGACAAGGTGCTAAAACACTAGAATTAAAATACATGTGGAATAATACCTGCAATGACGGAAAGATGAATGTTCACTCAGGTACAGAATAATTTATCAATAAATAACAGGCCATTTAATTCTTAGAAACAAATCTTAAAGAATTTTTATATCAGCAAAATGTAGATCAGTTCATGAAGTTGAGAAGATATTTTTGCTGACTCTTATTACAATGTTAAGGGTATTGAAAAATTGCAGAGACGACAATACCTTACAAGTCTGTGAAAGCAGTTTAAAAAGAGCTTGGTAAACACGGAACACTCACTTTGAGGTAGTTGACTGGTAAGTCAAAATTTAGGCAGAAAGTCACTCACTTTCAGGTCAGAACCAGTCAAATGACTCAAAGTGAGTGTTTCGTGTTTATTGGGCAGCTCAGAATTAGGCAGACAGATACAAAAAATCAGGTGATAACTGTAAATGGATAAGTGATACACGAGTATACTGAACATATAAAGAGCACCAAATTAATAATAATAAGGCCCACAGTTAGGCTTGAAACATTTCTAATCACATGAGCTTAAAATTTAATACTGATTTCAAAGTAACATCAGAACTAACTCTACAATTCCACTATGTTGCACCTTTTTAGATTCAAAATTAATCAAGTGAAACATAACACTTCCTTGAGAGACGGCCATGTCAGTTTGCATAGAATTAAGGTAACACAAATTAAGCTGCAATAAGCAAAAAGCTCAAAATATTTGTGGAATAAAAAGACATTCTGTTGCATCCTGTGTACAAACATGTAAGGCACTTACATTAGGTTATTCAAAATTTAAAAGATAAACTGAATGGCAACTTTTGCGTACCTTTATCAGTTACATGAAAACGAGAGTGCTAAGAGATTGTCATATCATGCTGTCTTGTTACATTAGGTAATAAGAATACATGCATAAAATACATGTAAAACAAAAGAAACAACCTTTCTTCTCACACTAAACTTACACAGTTTTAATCTTCAAGATCATCAGTCTTCTAAAATTTAGATTTCTAGGTTCTGGTCATTTGTCTTCAAACATGATTTGAGATCAATTTCAATTTCAATACAAAAGGAGAACCAAAATTATTGAATCAAAACAGATGCCAAGATAATGAGAATTAAGAGGTCCTTAGTACAAGTAAAACGGCATGACAAAAATGTCCCTTCCATATTTGTGAATGGTATGCACATTCACAAAAAAAACAACAGACATAGCTAAGCTACAATTGCTACAAAATGGTTGTCATTATAAATTTTAACGTTAAACTGTTTGTCCTGCAACAAAAACTTTGTTTTGGACCCGTTGCATTAAATCACAAGAAAATTATTGAATTTCCGAAAGGCTATAGAATCATTTCGACTCAAGTACAGTGTTACAATTCAGTGATAAAAGATTTGAAACACGGTGTAGGGAGATCTCTCTACACCATGATTTGAAACATAGAGTACGGCTCAATGATAAAGACAACTTCATGGAGTAATAAAAGTAATTAATAGTAAAAATGGAAGGTAAACAATGAGTGGAAAGTACCAAGTGAAAAACTACTGAATGCTACTGTTACATTAAGGTTTCACTGCAAGTCAAAAAAAAATTGCACAACCTCTAAATAAATTTTGCTTTTAGATAGTAAAAAAAACCCTTCTAGGGTTCACAAAATTTGGTTGCTGATAACCACAAAAAACTTAACTTTAGGAACTATTTTGCAAAGCAGCATGTTTTGAGATCTTACTTCATGCCATAAATATATTTCCCCATCATCCAAAGTGAAAAAAAATAACTACACATAATACAAGCGAACTTTTGAAGTGGACACCAAATCTTCACCATTGTAAAACTTTGTCTCAATCACAATATTTCCACTGAAAAGAAATTGAAGAAGTGACATTATAATTTTTTTAATATTTTTAAATGGATGCTAAATTTTAAAAAAGTAAGTAGTAACACAAACCTAAGCACTGCAGCAGGCATCATTTGGCTTTCAGGAGCAGCTTCAATTACTGATTGCCATGTGTTAGTAGAGTGTGGGATCACAAATCCAAAATCAAAGAACCATTCTTCAAGACAGCGACCCTGAAAACAAAATCAAAAACATAGTGAGACAAATTGAAAACAATTGAAAAAATAGGGAAGTCTAATGATATTACTATACCTTAAAGAGAACTTTTTGCTCAAGACGGAATTTATCCATAGGCTGAACAGAGGAGAAATTTATCTCACGAGACACAGCACGGCATTGTAAAATTTTCTTAGGTACACGTGCTTCATGTTCACAATCAGGTAATGATCTGAAATAGGAAATTTGGTAGTGATATTTACTTTAATTTAATAAACTTGTACGAGGATCTGAAAAAGAGAAGAGTTTAATAGACAAATGATGAATAGAACTCACAAGTCTTCATTGCCCTGCCACAGTATTCTGCCAGTGTCTGCATCACGTAAGTTTAACCAATTACTGAGAAAAAAACTAAGGAAATATAACACCAATACAGTGGATAAAAGTGAAAAGATAAAATAACACAGAAGTATTAAGAGAAGGATCGTCTGCTAGAGGAAAACAGAGAGAACCTCAACCTCAAACTTCGACCATGCTGTTTTTTTCCAAGTAACTCTGATAAAATTGCAGACATTTCAATTATTAACAACAGTAATAAAAGCAATGAAAAAGGATACACCTTAAAGCCTTGCAATATCGCGTCTCCCTTTGGAGCCATGATTCATTTAAACAATCACAAAACTGAAACCGAAGATTCACATCACAACAACTACTAGTTTCGATTCTTGTCACAAGAGGCGCTCACATCGTTCAAGGCTTGTCAACAGGAGTTCGCGCGAAAATTTGACTTGCGGCTAGAATATTCCAGCAAAACCGCCGCCGACGAATATGAATGGCCCCGCGGCGTAAGCTTCCAATCGCACGATAAAAATATCACATGTTGTAAATTTTGTGAACAGGGTGATATCGCCTTTACATCCAATCAAATGCAATTACCCCACTTTCGCGAATAAAAAATCCGTAATTCCTTGTTCACTGCACTTTCAGTTTTCCGGAATGAATGCATGAATGAATGAATGCATAGAATGAGTGTTGTCGCTGTCGTGAGAGGCACGGGATTGGAATCGCATCCACTTGCCACAGCAGCATCCCACGGGAACTGTGATCCTCGGGATCCTCGCTGGCTGCGATCCTACCCCCCCCCCTTCCCCCACGACCTCCACCCGCCCCTTTGGCCCCCCGAACCATTCCGTCTCATCCACCTGCAGCCTGCAGCCCGTCCCGGTCCCGTCGTCATCGTACTCATCGTACTGTGTCCCCCCCCTGCAGGGAGTGCAGGTAGGTGCCGCAGGCCGCAGGTCCTGGCGTCTCGCAGGCCTGCAGCCCAGGCCCTTGCTCGGCGGCCAGGTGAGAAATGGAGGTAGGGGGGAGGGGGGGGGGGCGGCCGTTGGAAGTGCGGTGCGGACTGGCAGCGCTGCCGGCGCGGCGGCGGCGGGCCGGCGGCCGGCTCGGCCGTTCGTTGGTCGTTGAGTTGGAGTTGACTTCAGTGAGGCTCTGGCCGCCGGCGACGAAGCAGTGTCTGTGTTGTTGCGCTCCGCGGGCGCCGAGTGTGTTGATTTAGGCCCCTCTTAGGGTGACAGCAGTAGTGCAGTGTGCGCCGGTGCCGTGTCAGTGGTGGTTCGTCCCGTGTCTTGTGCTGTGCAGTGAGAGTGTGTCAGTGTGGACGGCGAGTGTGTGTGGATAACTTACAACTTACGCCCGGAGCTCTGCACAAGGGCAATTTGCAACCCCTTCGCAACATTCCTGTCTGATGGTGAGTTCGTCATCTGCTCGTTATCGGTTTGTTTGGATGAAGTGGTAGGAGGGTGGCAAAACAATGGCTCCTAAAGGATGCCCCAATAATATAATCAAAGTGTCATTGTTGTGTTTGTAGATTATCATTAGTAATATTCTCCTATTTTTTTTTTGCAATATTGATTTTTTATTGCGTCGTTTTACGATCGTGGTTTACATACCTGGCCTTCCTGATCTTGTGCTAGGACCTGACCGATTTTACGGGAGTCAGGTGAGCGAGCAGGTGGAGGCACAGCCGAGGGAGGGGGCAGGTTTTTCGTGCGTCAGCGCCTCACCTGAGGTTGGGGAAGGTCAACTCAGCAGCTCTTGGGGTTCCCGGAGGAGGTCCCCGGGGGGGACTTGGTGCCGAAGCACTGCGTCCTTTTGTGCAGCTTGGAGACCCTCCCGGGCGCTCTCCTTCAGGTAGAGGAGGATCAGCTGCTTTCCTTGGAGACACGTTATGATGTGGCGAGGGGGGCGGGGTCGTTCTAATCATGACCCTCCGGGCCCGGACAGGAACTCCCCGTCGGGCAATCAGCGAGGTCCCTGCTGTGGTCTATGCATATGCCCCCACCCACACCCCTCAGAGTATTGCTTCACTCTTGTGATAAACGCCCCTTTCCTGTAGAAAACCAACGAGTGTCGTTACTGGGATTACTTCCCTTAATAAACTCATCTCAAAGACGACTGCCGACTGCGGGCGCCGCCGCCGGGATGGTGTTCTGTTCACGGGCACGGTGTATGGTTGTTTGGCGGTTGCGAGGGTGGGTGTGCTGTAGGTGTGTGTTGGCATGGGGGGGAGGGGGGTGTAAAGTAGGGAACGGAGAAGGCGGGTGGCCGCTGCTGCACGCCGACGGCCGAGGCGCGGAGGGGTTGCGCTCGCTCGGCCATATCGCGCGCGCGCGCGCCGTCGTCTTCAGCTGTTCCCCTTCTTGCCCCTCCCCTCCCTGTCCCTCATCAAAAAACCAAACCGTCCTTCTGGGATACGTCTTGCCCCGTACACGTCACGACGCTCACACGCAACGAACTTCAAGAGAGCGCGCGCGCGGGTGTTGAAACCAACGAACAATTTCAAAGTAAAAACATGGTTGTAAACCATTTACCCCGCTTGAAATGGATCGTAGACATTTGCTAAGTGTGCGACCGGTAAAGTACGTGCGCGTTGTGCTGGGTTTTTCTTGTGCGCGTTGTTCAACCCTTCACATTTGTAGTGCACACGCCCCCCAAACCGTGGTTTGGTCGCCTGATCCGCTCGTCTGGCGGGCGGCGGCAGGCGCGCCGATATCACTGGCAGTCGCTTTTTGTCAGACCGACGCCGACGCCGCCGCCGCCGAAAACTATCCGTCTTTCCTGCCCAGTCACCCACCGGCCGCGCGGCGCCCTGTCAAGACGGACGCGGCCCGTCATACCTGCACGGCCGCCGCCGCCACCTTACGGCCACGGCGCGCAGTTTAAAGGAAAACGACGCAAAAAAAAAAAAAAGAGGAGGAAAACGGACGGAAAAAGACGAATGGAAAACAGAGGCCGGGCGGCTTGGCGAGGTAAAAACGTCATTACAAGCGCATCAATCAGGAAGGAGGCGAGTCCGGTGGCGCCGCCCCGCGCGGCCCCGCCGCCGGCAAATCGAAGCAAACGGCGTTGAATTGCGATGAAAAACTGACACCGACGACGTCGGTGCGTCCCGGCGGCCCTGCCGCTTGCTGTCAGAAGAAAACATTATGCGCTGAAAATATTTAGACACACTTTTTTTCGTTTTCGGGAGCACACCGCGTTTGCTCAAGTAGAGCAACGGTGAGTGAGTGAGGCTTTGGCTTTGTTGGTTTGCTCTGTGATTACACTCTGAGCAGAACTTTCACGGCGATGGACTGGACCGGGCGGCTGGATGATGGACCCCTTATGTGTAGGGACGTGACTGGGGGGGCCCCGGCGCCCGCGACCGCACCAACGACGGCCTGGCCCGAATACTCCCAAGCAGCACCCAACCGATTTAGGCAAGGGAAAAAAAATTGCCGACTTGATATGGGGCTCAGCGATTTCTGTAGAGCCCAACAACACATCCAAAAACTAAACAAGTTTTCTACCGAGCCAGTTTTGAACACAGTGCGTTTAACGTTTGATTTTTTTTGCTGATCGTCACTCATTTTCATTCGTGAACTATAGGTCCAGTTCAAAGTCGGAGCGAGTGTGTTATTTGAGTTTTGCTCTCTGCGCTGGTGGTGCACGGGGAGGTCCTGCTCCTGGCTGGAATGCTCGCCGCGCGCCGGTGACCCCCCCCCCCCTCCTTCCCGCAGGGTCCGCAGGGCAGAGGCCCCCGGGACGTGGCGCGCCGGCCGGTGTGCGCTCTGTGCCCGGCCGCGGCGTCCTGGGGCGTAGCCGTGGCGGAGCCGGGGCAGGGCAGCAAGGAGCAATGACCTTGAGATCAGTTGGCTTCGCATGGCTCCACATGGCTTGCTAGCAGCGCGGCGCTGCCCCCATGGGCTTCCTCTGTGTTGTGTGCTTGTGGTGCATGCGAACAGCGACCAGCACATAGGGCCTATCTCATTCGCCGTGAACCTAGTCTCCATGTTGGGCTGGGCACATATCTTCGTGGACATGTCTTTCGCCAATCCACATCGTGGACGCTGTTGCGTTTTGCTCCTGGAAATTTTTCCATGGGACTTGTGCTTAGGTTGCCATTTAAAACCAGAAAATGATAAAAATTATTACGACACCATGTATCTATTGGTTTTGTACTATTCTTGAGCCTTTCGTAACTTTACGATGCCAATCTTAAATTTGCATCATCGTTTGTTAATCGTAAATTACTATGTACGAATGTAAATGTACACTGTACACCAGTGTCCGACTAATCTCTCTTCGCTAAACGTGTCAAGTGTGCTGAAACCGATCCGGCAGTCTCGCAAAGCTGGAAGCGGGGAGGCGCCAAGCCGCGCCCATCCTGCTGCCCGCAGTGTGTGTGTGTTTATCTACGTATCCTTCCTGCCGGGAGCCCTATCTCTGCGGGAGCTGCCGACCACTTGCGTGCCTCTGTCGGGCGCGCGCTACGGAGGAACCGCAACGCAACTCGGCGCGTCCGGCGCGAACAAAATGCTCTGGTGCACCACTGCCGCCGGAGCAAAGGGAGCGAGCAAGGAGGAGAGAGAGAGAGAGAGAGATACGCGATGAGCGAGCAAGGAACACGGTGGCCCGGCCGAAACCAAAAGGCATACAACGAAAAAATATCTCGGCCGCGAGACGCAGTAATTTGCTTTGGGGTGCGGTTTGAGAGTTTTTGATGAGGCGACCACCGCCATCAGCGGCTGTGCTGCTTTGTGTATATGTGAGAGTCTGTGATTTTTCTTCTTCTTTTTTTTTTCTCGCTGTTTCCTTTTGGTGAAAGGGTCGCGCGCGGGGCTCAGGCAGGAGGAAGTCATAATGCGAAGGCAGATTGCGATCGGCATCGGCAGCCGGGAGAGAAGAAGACGAGGCGACGCGGAGCCCGCGAGAGAGGCGACTGGCCGGGCTTGCACTCTGCAGCCGCACCCTTATAACCCTCTCTTGCCGTTGTGACAAGGTGGATGAGATGTCGCCATGTCGGTGCTGAGTCAAGTCAGTCCCCATCTCCCCCCTCCCTCCTCTCCCTCCATAGCCCCAGCCCTCCTCATGTCTCCTGTCTCTTTCCTCTGTCCAATGCTGCTTGCCCCTTTCTTGGCCGTAAATCTGATTTGGGCTAGCGCCAGCAGCAGCTCCTTTTGGCTGCGCCTTGGCTGAGTCCTGGCTGAGTCCTGGCTGAGTCCTGGCTGAGTCCTGGCTGCGCCGGCGGCCGTCGCCCTCCGTCATCATGGCCTCATGCAGGTGCAGCGCCGCCGCGGCACTGCTGCTGGCAGCGAGCCCATCGCGGGATGGATGGATGGGTGCGATGGATAGGCAGGCGGACAATCCTGGAGAACGGCCATTTGCCTCAAAGCTTTGCGACCGAATGGGACCACCTGTTTTAAGTGCGTCTGGCCAACGCTTGGACTTGTACAACTCTCCCCTCGCCCCACTCCTTATCCACCACGCTTCTCCTTGCCATGCCAGCAGCAGAAGACTCCCAATAAGCAATATCGAATCCGATCAGAAAACGTTTAAGTTTTCCATGTACTTTTCCAAAAGTAGCGTTCAAATTTGTTGCTCCAATTGGCACCTCCGTTTTTTTCCGCTCAGTATATTTGGCCTCCTTTGTGCGACTGGCAGCTTTGGGGCGGCCCCAAAGCGAACGGGTTGGTTATTCGCGCGATTTGTTTCCACACGCTCGTTGACAAGCAGCAGCAGCAGTCTGAGCTGAGGTGGTGGAGGAGGAAACACGTCCTGCCGGGCCGGTCTCGTCGCCCGTTGCTCGTCCCCCTCAAGAAGACTACTTTCCCCTCCCCGCCGTTCGTCTTTTACCAGCAGTTCAAGGTCAAGATCAGGCGCTGTCGTGGGACGTAATTGTCTGTACCCCTCCACCCCCCTCCCCCTGCCTTTACCACAACCACCCCGCGCTGCTGCTACTGATACGATTCTAATTGCAGCGCCAGCTTTGCTGTGCTCCGGCGGCACTCCTCTCTCTGGTGGTTCAGAGGCACATTATCACCTGCCTGTTGCTATCGCGGAGAGCTTCTGCTGCAGCTGGTCGCGTTTATTTCCGGTTCTACTCCCTGCGTAAGTGGACGCTATCGGGGGCCGCCCCGCCCCGCCACACCCCGCCACACCCCGCCACACCCCGCCACACCCCGCGGGCTGTCGAGCTCGCAGCCAGCCGCCCCGCCAAGCGGCTCATTTGCAAAAGGCCGTCATTGGCGGCCATCGCGCGCTTTTTGCAATCACGTCCCATCGATGGACTCGCCGTGCTGTACTCGTGTCGACGACCCCTTCTTTCTGCGCCTGCCGGCCTTGTCTGCCTGCCTGCCTGCCTCCCGCCGCCGGCTGGCCGGATGCGCGCGGGGGCCCAGCGGCCCAACCTGGAGGAGAGGCGCACCA